TAGGCAGAAAAGAATAGAGAGCAAATGCACAGGGAAGAAGCTGGCAGTAACTGGGCTGGGTACCTGGAGCAGAGATAGAAGCGGAGGATATCCATCTGCCAAAGCATTGTAAGGGGAGACTCCACAAGCAAAAGGTTAGGAACCATCCATTTAAACTGAAAGCTCTTCAGGGCAGCTACTTTTATTTACTTATACAGCATCCAAAGTGCACATTAGGAAAATAATAATGGATAATAATGGGTCACTGGCACCTAGACCCTCCTGCACCCAGTCAGAAACAGCTGCAGCAGGCAGGGAGTGGTAGGTAAGCAGCATTAAGTGCCTTGCCTCACAGATGACTGCTGTTGCCTATCACCCGCTGCTAGGATACCAGAATTTAGCACCAGGTCATGGAAGAAGGAGAAGCATGGCCTGTATGACTCCTTCCCGTTCTGATCCACTCATATCAGGTCACTTTCTCCCCTCCTCATCCTATCCCCCACAAGAACAGCTTTCAGCTCATTGTTGCTGGCTGGCTGCCTTCCACAGATAACAGGGACAGGAGAGGCACCATGAATGCAGTTCCCTTCCCCCAGTCCTTCATGTTCTATCAGTATCCCATCATGCCATGCAAGTGACCAGAGGGAGAAGTGACAGCAAAGAGCAACCCTAGTGTGCACAGTGCCCTGACCGAGCGGGCTTGCTGAATGCATTGTTGGCTACCTTGATGAAGTGAGGGCAGAGGGGGAGTGCAACAGCTACCTGAGCAACACAGAAGGGAGAGGATCGATTCCCCCAGCTTCCGAGACAAGGGCAAAACTGCTGATGGCAAACAGCAAGTATAAATGCATTGCCTATGGTGCTGGCTGACCAGAGATGAGAGCAATGAGGCCGGTACCGGTTGGCCCCAGAAAACAGAATACAGAGAATAGCCTAAGGTGGGCCACATGGGTGGGAGGGAGGCAGTCTGTATAGCAGAGGAGGACAAGTCTGTCAGGAAGCAGGAGGGCAACATGTGCAGCTAAGCTTTGCGGGGGGAGGGGAGCAGAGCAAGTTGGGGGATGTTCTGAGTGGAACCTGAAGTTTTGGTTCTGCTACCTAGTCAGCTTTAATCCACCATTGCCCTCCACTTCAGGGACTAGAGCTCTGTGCTTCAGAGGCAGATCAGCAAGTCTCTTTAAGGGGAACCCCTGCCTCTTGGAGATAAGTTATGCTGGAGACTAACTTAGAAACACCAGAAGCCAGCTGCAGTGTAAGTCTGACGAGTGTACGGTGGGCAGCCTCACACTCCAGTTGATGTCTATACAATTCCTCTGGGCCTGCACTAGTTATACCAAGGTACCCACACTATCTTCCTTATACCTGGGGCTATGGATCCAGTGAACAGGCCCTCATTTGATGACAGGCCAACTCCCCCATCATGCAAGAGCATTAGATTTTAAAAGGAGCTGTATTTCATGTATGTGTACACCTCGGTATGTGGGCATCCTGAATCAGATAGGTTCTCACAATACCAACCATTCTGTGAAGATCCCAGAACTCTATAGGAGAAGCCTTAAAATACACTATCAAGCCCAGAATGGCCAAGAGGCACCTGCTCTAGTGCACAAAGCCTAGAAAAGGAAACATTGTGGTTGTAGCAGGACTGCTGCTTACTGAGCCTCCATTCTGGCCAGGGGTGTCTCTGCAGGCTCCCCTCCTTTGTTTTTCCTCTGTTCAGGTCTTTCTCTAGTTAACAGTACCCCTGCATGGGGCTAGTTTAATACCACAACCAGTTTACAACAATCTACAGCCCCAAACTAAAATCCATTCTAGCAACACAAAAGTCCATACTTGCTCTGGGCTGTTCTTTCAGCTCCAGGGCCCCTCTTCCATCCTGGTCCAATCTCTCAGCCAGTCCTCCCTCACTGGGGCTCTGATATCCAGTCCCAAAGACAGGCAGGGCTTTCTGCCCCCCCACCTCCTGCTCACTTGAGTATTACCCGCCAAACTCTCGGCTATCATGATCGTACCAGAATTCTTTTTTCTCCCTGAGCTTTCCCCTTTTGCTGCAGCTACCTCTGCTCTTCATGGGGAATTGTCTGATTCCCCTCAGGTGAGGCTCATTCTGTAATCAGGTGTGACTTAGCCCCAGGCTCTCCAGCCCACAGGACAAGCCAATCTGCTACAGTAGTGCAGAAACCAGTGCTAGGGCCCTCCAGAATAACCTGCTGAGGTGTGGATGGTTGTATATGATGAATTAAAATGAGCTCTTTGGGCTTTTTGAACAGTTGCCTCTCTATCAAATGTCTGAATTGTGTGTGATTGTTACACTGTTTATTGTTAAGGCTCGCTTCTGAGGAGACACTGCTGTATGTTACTGCAACTGCTGAACAGCCAAAAAGATATAAATTTGGATCACTGGGAGGTATTAGCAGAACTTTTGAACTATGGTTGTTTCTGGCAAATCACTTTTAATAACACTGTTACCTACATTATAGCTCTGTTTAAACTGTGCTGTAACTTTAAATGATGGTGCCTTCTCTGATCTCTGCATAGGAGGGTCACTGAGGTTTAACAAAGGTCTCCCAACTGTTTTGAAACTCTCACCCATAATCTCCAGACTCAATATCCTAACACTTATCAGTTTACTGAACTAAGAGACAGAGAGGGGTCAGCAACCAAAACTCTGTGTCCTCCAGCCAGTTCTGTCTGGAAATCTTCCAGCAGAATTAGGTACTAGCGGTGTGAGGTAGCTTGGCCAATGGTACAGCTGATCAGAAAAATTGATTCTTTTTCACTGAAAATTTCAACTTTTCAGCCAAAAGTGAGTGAGTGAGTATGTGTGTGTAGCTGGGGGGGAGATGGTATTTGTCTTGCTTTTAAATAAGTTGAAATTTCCCGCTGAAAATTTCATTCATTCAAAAGTTCAGTTTTCTATTGAAAAAGTGTTTTGATGGAAATTTTTTGACCAGCAGTAGCCAACAGTCCAAATGTGTCCCCCTGCCACCATCCTGGAAATATAACAATATCTTAACCGCCCCTCACCCAAAACTGCCATTTTCTCTGTGCCCGGAAGATCTCAAAGTCAGAGCTCCTACTGGTACAGTCTACTGGACACTCACAGTGCGCTGTGCAGCACCATTGATCTGAGGAGTACTTGCTGCTGGCTGGCAGAGGCTGAGGGAACGGAATGATAATGTGATCTCCTTGGAGCAGAGATGAAAGAAGGCTATGTTGCTGTGATGCATCACCTTAACTCTTGGTTTGCCAACGTTTGAGCTTTGGGAATCAAACTCTCCCATGCTAGAAGGGCACTGGGAGCACAGAGCTACAGAGAGTCTACAGCCTATCTGGGACCCCACTTTTTGTCAGTATTGGTCATATAAATAACGTGTAGCTATTCCATAGAAACAGGAGTCACACTGAGTGTAGCTTAACTGAGGAATATGTTCTGTTTCTTCCAAGCCATCCTGGAAACATACACTCAACTCTTTCTCCCAGTATAGAAGTGCTGTGTGGTCTCCTATTAACTATGGCCCTGCTGTGATCAAGGGTTGTGCATTTTACTGAAAGGATTATATATAGCCTGGGGGTTGTGGGTTACAACAACTTGTCTTGTAGCTGCTGTATATGAAAAGGCTTATACCTTGTATGTTGTATAGAATATAGAAACTCAAGAGAGTTCAAAGAGATTTTAGCTTCTTAAGTAAAGTGCGTCTCTCTGAGGGTACAATCCTTACTTTCTCTTCCAACGCCTGGCAAAGTTTAAAATGTGAGACTTCTCCTTGGTCTCTTTATATATTGCTACTTATATTTTCACCACTAGATGGAAGTATAGCTACACCATGCTACAGAAATAGAATAGTATTTTCTGTGTGTAACTGTACAGCGTGCTGTCTGCTGAATAACAGTCCTAAAAACACCTCAGCGGAGCCTGAGTCATTTTAGTGGAACCCAAACCACAGCATCACAGAGTGTTCTTCCTGCCCAACATGCCTGATGAGACGCACATGCTGTATGCTGCCTCTGCAAAGTGAGGATGCCCTTTGAGCACCAGCTTCTATCAGCCATAAACAAACACTTTATTATTTCAACAACTCAGGTGGAGCATTTAATGTCAGGTTAACATTGGTTCCTTGTGACAAAAGGAATCACAGAGTATACATAAAAAGCAGCACAGCCCTTCAGAGTGGATAAATAACTAGGATAATTCTCAGTGATAACTAGGGAGATAGACATCATATGACTTATGTATTTTATTCATTTATAGGATAATTCTCTGCCTTTACAGTCCATGCAGCACACACAACTATTACAACATGGCATAGGTCAGAAATGCTTATCAAACACCAGCATCAGGGCAGCTACTCAGGGACTTTGAAACAAAGATACCAAGAGGCATCATGCTCATGAATGTGCCAACAGATATAAACACAGCACCTTCCCACGTAGATTTGGTAGCAAACGTTGTGTCTAAAAGGAGCTCCCTATTCCCCCCAAAAGCAGATTTATAGAATTATGTCTGCAAAAAAGCCATCTGTTTTTAAAAGCATACAGTCAAGATAAAATACTGTATTTAAAAATCCTACAATTATTAAAACTGAAGAATTTTTAAAAAATAATTTGCACATTTATGGTCTCTGTTTGTAGAACATTCTATTTAGTCTTTAAATCTTTAGTCATTTTCATTTTCAAGTTCTCATGCACTATCCCACTGCTGTTGTGCTTAGGGTTACAGTTATTACTTAGCTATTTCCAGTAATACCCACAGTGTGCTCGTTTTCCAAACAGAAGAAGGTCTGACCCCTGCTCTGAGAAGCCCACAATGTACACATGGAGGATATCCTGTTCAATTGCTCCCCAAAGAAGTTGTAACTGAAATTTAAAAAGACTTATATTGTTCCCTCTCCCTACACACATAATTTTGGGCCTAAACTAACAAACAAGTACACCTCTACCCGGATATAACACTGTCCTCGGGAGCCAAAAAATCTTACTGCGTTATATCGAACTTGCTTTGATCCGCTGGAGTGTGCAGCCCCACCCCCCACCCCCTCCCCGGAGCACTGCTTTACCGCGTTATATCCGAATTCGTGTTATATCGGGTCGCGTTATATCGGGGTAGAGGTGTATCTAGGAGCTAATCCCTAGAAGGTCTCTCTTTCCAATTCCCCAAACTGACCTGCAGTATGAATCCTAAAGCTACAAAAGCTGCAAAACCCTGTTTACAGAATTCTACCTCCCACTGCTTGGGATTAGATAAGAGCTTCCAACACCCTTAAAGCAACCCAGAGAGAGTAGGTGGTAGAACAGAACATGGTAGAAGACAATGCAGAGGACAGAATGGCCACAGGAGAGAAGCACTGTGGAATCTTTCTTTAAAGAGGGAGTGTAGCAGGTTGAGGCAAGGAGTGCTAGAAGCTCTCTCTGGATAGGTCCAGAAAGATGACATGGAAAGAAATCTCTTCCTGCCCTTTAAATGCTCTACACTGAGAAATCCATCCTCAGTTATAGTGGAGACAAAACGCACAAGACTGATATCAGAGACTACAGAATTTCACTTCCAATGCGGACGAGCGTGAGTCCCTCTGTCTGATGAGGGGGTGTTGACGGGTTAACCACTAGTGTAGGAAACAATAAATAATCCTGCAGAGCTGCCATCCAGGTGCTCAGACATTAAGCCACTGAAAATCCTTCTTCGGGAACAGTCTTCCATGAAACGCTGAAATGCAGTCCTGTGCAATACAATGAATTTGCTATTACAACTTTATAGGAGTTTAGTCCGTTAACTTTTACTCTGCCATTTAGAGGAATCTGCCCAAGCACCAGAAACCATATCTTCATCACATGTGCCCTAAGAAATAAAAACAACTAGCTGCTCATTAATGAGTCAAGTACTATGTCCACATTAACAAAGCATAAGCTTGTCCAAATACAGACCAGCGTAAGTCCCCAAAAGTCATCCCAAAGTTCATGCTGAAGGGTCATCATGGCCCTAAGACGGCCATCTCATTTTAAAATCAACTAAATGGGTTCACACTCAATATTTGTTTGCACAATGGCTCGGGTCACATTAACACATATCAGGGCTGCCTGCGAATCCCCAGGGGCTCATGACCACATAAAACAGGCAACACTTAGAGCCCAATAAGCCAAATCAGCTCTGAGGCCACACGGCCTGCTTCATACAAGAAGTCAGAAAACCACAGATGTCACTATTACTGCCTGCAGGAGACCAAGCTTGGAGCAGTGGCACCTTGTGCCAACCCCATGAAAGCACAGGTATTACTACTAGTGGGGTTCACTCTGCCTTCCTAGGTGGGGACTCTAGTCCATTAACCTCTATGGTATGGCAGTGATGGGAGATGAAGCATTCTACAAAATAGCGGTTTTCTCAAGAAAAAGGAAAACAGGGTCATTCTGAAAACCCAGCTGTGTGGCTCTACCATGATTTTAGAGGATGGCAGATCACAGCATCTCTCTCCAGAGAGAATGTATACATCTTTTCCTACCTTTTAAGAAAGGGTCAGCCAGAGTATCATGATCAGTGCCCATGTCTTTTCCAGCCAGGAATCCATCCTCGGAGCTTTGCTGCCTTGGGAGATAGCCTCTGGACTCCCTGTGGTGTTCAAAGAACTCACAAGGTTTAATTCTTCTGCTACAAGCATGAACAAAGTGCAGGTAAGTAAAAACACTTGGCAGAACTGTCTCACTGTAAACTCAAACCACAGCGGCTTTCTTAAACCACAGAGAAGGCAGCTAAAGAAAAAAAAAGAAAAGTGAGTTGAAACATTTTGGAGAAAGCTCCTGGCAGCATGAAAGGGGAAACACGGTGAATGAGAATATCATTTTGATGCATTGTTAACAATTAGGCTGGGTGAACGGCTTGGAAAGAACATGAACCTGCTCCTCCCAGTCAGAGTAGCACAGATGTGACTCTGGCAGGCTCCAGCGAAACACCACACTGGGGTGTTACAATGCTGCACTGCATTATGAAGATGATGCATAAGAACTGATGAGGTGACTCCAGTGTGGTCGAGTTCAGGTTTGGTCGCCGCTTTTAGCAACTGTGGTCCACAGCTCACTCATTATGTGTACAGGTGGGGGTGAGGGGATGGGGAGAGCAAAAGCAAGCATAAAGTAATAGTGTGGCTGCAAGGCAAATCCTTTCTTTGTGTTAGTGAAAAGAAGTGGGGCCAATTGATGATGGCAGGTCTGGGGAGCTGGAACCAGGATCTGGAACACAGAAGGAAAGGAGAGTGATGCTCAAGTGGAAAGAGAGAGTCATTTAGAGGCAGAATAGCATGTTAGTTTATATTTGTGGACAAGGCGGTGGAACAGAGAATGTCTGGACTAGGGAACTGCTTGGATTCACTAGGGCAATAGCTTTGGCACTGCCTAAGTGCACAGCTAGTGACCAAGCATGGGCACAATGTAAAACACACACACGCTCCACATCTGTCTGACCCTCCTACCTCAAGCTACAGCATAAGAGTCCACACACAGTACTGCCTATACTCAAGGGTGTATCCCACTGGCTACTGCCCATGGTACGAATGATTCCTCCAGGGCTGTGCTTCTGCATGCTCGCCTTTCTCTGACTTCCCAGCTGGCTTATTAGCTGGGCAAACCTGCCCTGAACTTCTGGAGAATTTCCCAAACAGCACTTGCTTGGCAGCTGGGTTTTCAGCCACTCTCCTCTGTCTGGCTCAGGAGCACTCTGTATCCAGCACAGGGATGTATTGATCACCCAGTTTTGTGTTAGGAGTGACTTTACCCCTAGGAGATACTGGCAGGGACTTCAGAAGGTTCAGGGGAAGGGATGATCCTTTCCTTTGGAGCACTGAGCAGGGGTCATTTGGTAGCTCAGATGAGAACAGATTGCATGATCAACCGAGAAGATTCAGGGGGGAGGTGGCAGGGACCCTAGTGTTTCTCAGCCCTTCCTGTCCTTTCTCTATGCAACACTTTTTTCTTATTCATGTGAAATGGAAAAGTAGTTCAGCTCTGTGAGAAGTAGCTCAGCAGTGCTGGCCCTGACCTTGTGAGCTCCATCTCTGTAAGCACCGACCCTCACAAAATCTACATTCACCTCAAGGCAGCTGTGGGTGATCCTCACCCACAAGACTGATGATTCCATGCTCATATACACCCAGTCATCAATTTAAAGCATTTCTTTGCCACGTGTGAATTTATCAGGTTCTGTGGTTAAAAACAGGAGCAAGTACCAGGCGAGCCAGTGTGGGAGTGAACTTTGCCTCTGAGTTACAGACTGGCAGCACTTCAATCTAACGCTCTTTTCATCATGCCCTTGTTCTCCCCCTATAATTACCTACAAGAACTGCTTTGGTACCCAAAATGCAAAGCTGGAGGCTGCTCCCACCCCTAGTAGATCAAGTGGCGCCATCAGCCAATCTGAAATTCAAGAACACCTCAATTATCACATTCCTGTCCCACATCCGGTGAGCCAAACTGGAGAGACAATTAAAAAGCCTTAAACTGATTCCAAGTGTCATAATATGGCAATGCTATATCATGAGGTGACATTAGTGTGTGATATCATTGCATCAGGATGAGATGATGCAATTCATTGACATTTTTTTATCATATGTAAAGGACAAATGTAAAGGACAAGAATGTGTTGCATTTACCCCTCTCGCCTCTAGCACCTCACTGCCCAAACAAATCTTAAAGCTACCACTGCTTACCTGTTACTTCCACTCGGATATAGTGACCGATAGCAATCTGGTTATTTGCACTGGCTCTGCACTGGTAACCACCGCTGTCTGAACGGCTGACATTATGAATCTCCAGGAGCAGAGACAAGCTGACCCTTGCTTGGGGATTTAAGCTCATTGTTGATAGCAAGCGTTCCAGCTCTTCGCCAACCCTAGCACAGCTGCTCTGATTTTCCACCCATTTACACCAGTAGACCTTCAGATCTGAAGACTGTTTCTGTTCCTGTTCCTGTTCATACCACACTGTGCAATTCAAGGTCAGGGGATCTCCTTCTTTAAGCTTAAGGCGGGCTGATGGGTATTTGATTTCAAGCATGTCACATCCTGGAGAGTAAGAGAGCAGACCCATTAACTGGAGAGGCTATTGTATGAGCATTAACCTGCCTAGTATCTTTCAGGTCACTTGTAAGCTCTTGGGGTAGGGATCGTCTCATACTCTGCATGCACAGTGCTTAGCACAATGAGGCCCTGACCTTGATTAATGCCTCCAGGTGCTGTTGTAATACAAATCATTAATAATTTGGCTTTTCCCATAACCTCTGTGTTTCTTGGCAGCCCTTCTGCGGAGCTGTGTGAGGAGGGATATCACAGTATCCCCCACCTATCTTCTACAAGGTCTAGGGCATGCAGGTTGGCCAAATATTTTCTGCCCAGGAGAGCTTCAACAGAAAATCGGGTTTGATAAATGTCAGCTTTCCTCAAAAAAAGTTTATTTTCATTAGAAAACCTAAAAACCCAACATTTTCCATTTTCAGTAGTTTGACTGAAAACTTTTGTATTTTTCAAAAGAACAATCACAATGTTTCACGGGAAAATTAAACCTTTTTCTAGCCAGCTCTGGATATTCCGTCTTCTGAGGTCAGAGTTCAGCTTCTCTCTCAGGCTATGTCCACACTGCAAGTGAACAGTGTGATTGTAGAATGGATAGGCAAATGACCTGAGCTTTAATATAGCCAGCATGGGTAACAATGGCGGTGTAGATGTGGGGACACAGCTTCAGCAGAGGCTAGCAACCTAGGGTCCCTGGAGGCTTATACTCTCCTTGCTGGCTAGTGCTTAAAGCCTGTGCCCCCCCATGCCTATACTGCTGTCGTTACCTGTGCTAGCTAGATTAAAGCTAGCATGGGTATAGAGCTACAATCACACCTTTCACTTGCCGTGGGAACACACCCTCAGTCACTGTGCCGTGAGCTAAATTTACCAATGGAGAAGACATGAGGAGACAGACGTGATTCAGAGTCTGTCTAGGAAGGGTATTGAGATACACCCCTCCTTTCCAGTTCCCCAGACAGATTCTCTCTTCAGTATACAAAACTAACTTCTAGATTGGGCTTGAAAAATGATGGCAACATGCTACGTCTTGCCTGGCTTGGCCTTACCTGTAAAGCCCTGGCAGATACAAAATTTGTATCCGCATCCAAGCCACGATCTGCAAACATGGTCCATGGATAACCCCAGATTTGCAGGGCTCTACTTACCTGCAGCTTTTATTCCCAATGCTGCCCACAGGAGAGCCACAATAAGGCTGCTTCTTCCATGCCCAATCAGCCAACCCCTGATCCTCATTATTTTCTGGAGTACCATCAGATTGAAATCTCGGACAATTATCAGCAGACCCTTTCCTCTCACAGCAAAGAAAGAGCATTAGAAGCCTCTTCTGCTGCTTATGAGCTGTCAGAAAAGTACAAACCTCCCCACACTAGTTACTGGCTAAAGCACACTGCCAAATAACCACAGTGCAGAAATCTTCTTAAAGAGCCAGAAGACCATTAACACTCACACGGCACAACACGCACACACAGGCCTGCAGAAAATCACACCTCCCTAGAACGGAGTGAAATAATCATCACTCTAATTTGTAGTGGTTTTAATAACATTTAAGAAATTCTCAAGTATTTGACCATATTCTCTATAGCTTCTCTTCCTTTTCAGCATGGCTTGGTACCAGCCATCTTATCAAATTACTTGTATAGCTTGTTGAAAAGGAGCCATGAACCCCAGCAAAATGTCGTTAGAAATAAAAAAATCCCAGTTTACTCCATCCCATTCATTATCATTTAGCAGAAAAGGCAGACTTCCTTTTTCCACACTTATGAACTTGAACATCCTGGGTATGAAATTTTGACTTAAGTGCTATTGTTTTCATATTCTGGGGGCTTCAAGGAGTGAGGGAGGAAAAAAGAGAATTAAAAATTATTAGGGCTGTCAAGCGATTAAAAAAATTAATTGCTATTAATTGCATGATTAATCGCACTTTTAAACAATAATAGAATGCAATTTATTTAAATATTTTGGATGTTTTCTACATTTTCAAATATACTGATTTCAATTACAACACAGAATACAAAGTGTACAGTGCTCACTTTATATTTATTTTTGATTACAAGTATTTGCACTGTAAAAAAACAAAAGAAATAGTATTTTTCAATTCACCTAATATAAGTACTGTAGTGCAATCTCTTTATCATGAAAGTTGAACCTACAAATGTAGAATTATGTACAAAAAAATAACTACATTCAAAAATAAACAATGTAAAATTTTAGAGTGTGCAAGTCCACTCAGTCCTACTTCTTGTTCAGCCAATCGCTAGGACAAGTTTGTTTACATTTGCAGGAGAAAATGCTGCCCACTTCTTACTTACAACGTCACCTGAAAGTGTTGGCATGGCACTGTTGTAGCCAGTGTTGCAAGATATTTATGTGCCAGATACGCTAAAGATTCATATGTCCCTTCATATTTCAACCACCATTCCAGAGGACATGCATCCATGCTGATGACGGGTTCTGCTCCATAACAATCCAAAGCAGTGCAGACTGACACATGTTCATTTTCATCATCTGAGTCAGATGCCACCAGCAGAAGGTTAATTTTCTTTTTTGGTGGTTCAGGTTCTGTAGCTTCTGCATCAGAGTGTTGCTCTTTTAAGACTTCTGAAAGCATGTTCCACACCTCGTTCCTCTCAGATTTTGGACGGCACTTCAGATTCTTAAACCTTGTGTCGGTTAGAAATCTCACATTGATTCCTTCTTTGTGTTTTGTGAAAACTACAGCGAAAGTGTTCTTAAAATGAACTAGATGTGCTGGGTCATCATCCGAGACTGCTATAACACGAAATGTATGGCAGAATGCGGGTAAAACAGAGTAGGGGATATACAATTCTTCCCCAATGAGTTCAGTCACAAATTTAATTAACGCATTATTTTTTTAATGATCGTCATCAGCATGGAAGCATGTCCTCTGGAATGGTGGCTAAAGCATGAAGGGCCATACGATTGTTTAGCGTATCTGGCCTGTAAATACCTTGCAATGCCAGCTACAAAAGTGCCATGCAAATGCCTGTTCTCACTTTCTGGTGACATTGTAAATAAGAAGAGGGCAGCATTATCTCCTGTAAATGTAAACAAACTTGTTTTTCTTAGCGATTGGCTGAACAAGAAGTAGGACTGAATGGACCTGTAGGCTCTGAAGTTTTACATTGTTTTGTTTTTGAGTGCAGTTATGTAACAAAAAAAATCTACATTTGTAAGTTGCACTTTTACGCCGAAGATTGCACTACAGTACTTTTATGCGGTGAATTGAAAAATACTATTTCTTTTGTTTATTATTTTTACAGTGCAAATATTTGTAATCAAAAGTAATATTATTTTGATTTCAATTACAACACAGAATACAATATACACCTCTACCCCGATATAACGCTGTCCTCGGGAGCCAAAAAATCTTACCGCATTATAGGTGAAACCGCGTTATATCGAACTTGCTTTGATCCGCTGGAGCATGCAGCCCTACCCCCCCGGAGCACTGCTTTACCACGTTATATCCGAATTCGTGTTATATCGTGTCGCGTTATATCGGGGTAGAGGTGTATATGAAAATGTAGAAAAACATCCAAAATATTTAATAAATTTCAATTGGTATTCTACTGTTTAACAGTGCGATTAAAACTGTGATTAATCACGATTATTTTTTTAATTGTGATTAATTTTTTTGAGTTAATCATATGAGTTAACTGCGATTAATCAACAGCCCTAAAAATTGTATGTACCAAATATAGGGCACCCATTTGCATCAGCCTAATGTTGAGGGGTACTAGGCCTCTGATCCCTAATACAGAACATATGCTTCCCTTCTAGCTAGGAAAATAAAGACATCTTTTTAAAAGATTCTATCACCTACTACAGAAAAAAGACAAGGGTTTAAATGATATAGAAAAAGTTTTCTGAATCTAAAACCTAGTTAGAGAAGTGTGTGAAATCTTGAACTCTGAGTTCACTCATCTCTACTGATTAGCAACACCCTCTTCTAGAAGCAAGGATGAGCACATCTCAAGAAGTTCTGAAGTTTGGTAAGGAAAAGTATCCAGAAGTGGGGATTTCCCTCCCCCCACCAGGCTCAATAAGCCATATACAAGAACAAAACCAGGCTGGGAATCAGGGCTGGCTCCAGGTTTTCTGTCGCCCCAAGCGACAAAAAAAAAAAATTAAAATTAAAAAATGCTGTGGCAGCACGATCACGCCGCTCCACTCTTTGGCGGCAATTCGGCGGCAGGTCCTTCGCTCCGAGAGGGACTGAGGGACCCACCGCCGAAGACCCTGACGTGCCGCCCCAATAGCGGCCGGAGTGCTGCCGCTTGGTATTGGCCGCCCCAAGCACCTGCATCTTTAGCTGGTGCCTGCCCTGCCGGGAATCTTGGCTTTCATACGTTTTCTAGTACTAACAATTTCCAGCTGAGCTAGAAACGTGGCAAGAACAGCTCCTCTCTCAGTATATTTCAGCTCTTCTGCTCTTGATTAGAACCAGGGAGAACAGAGAGGTGTGAAAATGACAACCATGTATCCAAACCCCGGAGAAGTTTCCATGATGCAAAAGTTTGGGATAGTTCCTACATTACCCAAACCACCTCGCATATCCTTAACAAACTAATTCTAATGGTCCCAACTCAGTAATGATGCACTGTTTGGCAAGGGCCCTCATGGTCTTTTTGTGTTAGTAGTTTTTTTTTTTTTACTGTAGACCGTAAGTAGCAGAGTAATTCCAATCTCATCTTCTTCACTAAGAATCGTCTCAGTGCAGTTTAAACTCTCTGATGGCCCAGGTAACATTTTACAAATATTTGATTAATTTTAGTTACAGAGCATGAAAAAAAGAGTGCAAGCTCTGTTGCTCTTTCAATAGCTTTTTAAAAGGTGGTGGCTAATGTGTGTGTAGGGGGGAGGGGAAATCAGTGAAGCCACAGTTTCAGTAATTCATAAAGGCAATCGAGACCATAGACTGTACTAGCAGAGGGTAGGTCAGCCTCCCATACTCATTCAGAGGCTGAGAAATAAAATCCTCTACTCAGCAAGGCAGTTTGCAACAGCAAACTAAATGTAAATGACTTCAATGCTGGTGAAGGGTACCAGATTGACAGCCCTTGAAACAGACATCCTCTGCCAAAAGTGCAAAGACTCAAGTAGCAGCCCAAGATTCTCCCAGATTACTCTTCCTATCCACCCTTCATTGTGCCTCAGTATTGCCCTAAAGGGGCTACTTCTAACGTTGACAAAGGGACGTACTGTCTAGGACCCATTAAATCCCGGTAAATCCCGGGCCTCTGCTGAGGGTGCTCACTGAGGTAATCAACTGTGACTATGATGTAATCATGTGGATACACATCCGCTAGAAACTGAACTGAAAAGCCTCACTCTCTCCACACAAGCCATTCTACAGACATCAGAAGGTTAAAAACCTTTAAACTGCTAGAGACCCAGGCTAGATTCAAGCTGGCAACTTTGTGATGTACTTTGCTGTGTATCCTATTACTGCTCCCCTGAGCCATCCACTTGCCCATATAGCTGTTGGATTTTTGAGTGAAGCAGGAAGATGTCAGGAGTAGCATGTGAAATTTAAACATGCCCAGCTTGTTTTATATAGAGCTACAAAAAATAAAATATTCAATCAACCAGTTCTAATCCTCAACTAAAGAAATGAACAGCAAAATTCTATTCCCCACTCCCTTGAAGTAATGAATGCTTGTTTGTTTTAAGGCAAATAAAATCTCTTTAGATTCATCGGTACCTGTAATTATTCAGTCATAGGAAAGAGTGGGATGAGTGCATTTTGTGCCCAAGATGTATGTTTTCATGACAGTTTTGCAAGGCAAGGGTATATTAGACAGGAAACGACCTACAATATAAGATAGTCTAGTCTTTCTCCTTGCCATTGTGGGATTGCTCCAGACAATATATTCTCCAGTGTGTTCATGTATTCCATGATTTTTCTGCTCTGCAGAATCTTTCCATTCAGAAAAAATATTAAGGTTCCAGTACTTCTGTATAGTATGCAGCACCAGAGATGTAAAATGGCACCTATTTATCACAAAACTAGAGTTAGCTTCAAAGCCTAACTTTAAGTATTTAAATCCAGTCACTTTCAAATTACTTTGCTCAAAAAAGACAGTGTAATCATTAGAGCTGGTTGGAATCTTTGGCAAATGTTGTCAAAATGTTCTGTTTTATCTAAGCCAAACTGTTTCATGGAGACATATTGGTTTCCATGGAATGTTCATGAAAGGTTTTTTGAGGGGAAGGGCAGGAAGAGAGACACTCTAATTGAATAGCTGAGTGATTAGAGTACTGGCCAGGGAGGTGAAAGACCCAGGTATAGGCCTCAGTGGAACACAAATTTTGAAACTTAAAAGTTGCCATCAAATAGACTTGTCATCCTCCAGTCAGCTCTAGTAATTATAAAGTGACTAACAGACAGTTAAAAGCTACACAAATTTGTCCCACACTGTTGTGTGTGTGCCCATATGAGATGATGGAGTCTGAGTCTGGAACTTCTCAATCCTGAATAATGGAGGTTATTTTGCTTGCACTGCCATGAAGACAACGTACCTTCCAATGTTTTTATCCCGGAAAGGAGGAGAGTATATTTTAAACAAGACCAACTGTTGTGAGTGAAAAACAAGCATAACTACCTGGATATAAACATAGCCTTAAAATTGAATCCTTTCAGATGATGCAGATCGCAACCACCATGACAGATGGCGAGCTGGGTTGTACAGTTATACAGTTATGTGATCATAGCACTGAGATTCCACCTAGTGTCTTAAAAAGGCAATTCAGGTATCTAGATGTGTAGGCTAACCAAGACTATGACAAGCTCAAACCTCCTTGAAATCTAAAAAGTGGTATTGA